TTTTGGGTTTCGGGGTTTGGGGGTTTAGGGTTTTGGGTTTGGGTTGAGGGTTTGGGGGTTAGAGTTTAGGGGTTTAGGGATTAGGGCTTGAAGTTTACGATTCGTGGCTCAGGGTTTCGGCCTCAGGGTATTGGCGCAGGGCTTAGGGTTCAGGTTTGAGAGCTTACCGTAATATGTACCATAGTCTAAACTCCTTAAAGTGGGGCTACATAGGGGATTATATAGGGGATTATATAGGGGACTACTACAGGGTCTAGTGGGGGGATACTAGGAGTTCAGATTATGGCTTATATGGGTTTGTGGGGGTTCATTACGGGATAGAGCATAGTGGGGACACTTCCTTTAGAGCAGCTCGAAGAGTAACAAAACTGGTGTGACGTCTTTCTGTCTGCAAAATACATCATTATGCCGGGTTTCAACAAGGCCTAAACCCTGAATCCCTAAACCCCAAAACCTAAACCCTACCCGCAGGGTTTTTCGTGGCGGCTTCGGGACGAGGAAAGTAAAGGGAAGCTGCTTGTTCCAGAATTTCAGCCTGACAGCCTTGCTTTGCAGGAATATTGTTGTTGTTTCCATTGTCAGTCTTGTTGGCCTATGACTAGCAGCACGGTGACTATCATGTCTCTTGGCACTTTTATTTTTGGATTTTGGCTTCAAACTATGTTTCTTTTCAAACTAGGCAATCTCTTTCCAAGGAAACGCACAGGCACATACCAACACTACATGGCTGCCCATATGTTTGCTCTGCAGCGAGGGTGGATCTTTAAAGGTAAGCGAGAGGTGATGGAAATGTTTCGGGAGTCACAGTAAGAAGGCAAACTCAGCCCAGAATAATGCCCCATACCTTAAAGAGTTTTGAGGACTCCCTCTCCGGTTTGGGTACGGCGCTCTACCAGCAAGGGCGATACAAAGAGGCCACCCGTCGATCGTGATTCTATTTATAGATTCTCGAATATCCTCCCAGATTCGCGCTTTATGGTAGGGTTGCTTTGGGTGCATTGGAATCGTGTGGACCTTTCAGATATGCAGGGCATTTCATTACGCTTCTGTGTGGGCTTTATACACGTAACCAAGGCTTCCAGTAGCAGTTCAAAGCCCTGGCGGGACTGGATGGACATATACTTCTTGCCGGCATGCGATGTGAAAGTTCGATCTTCTGGTTCAATTTGCCATGGAAGCCGTTAACAGAGTCCATGCCTAGTTTCGGGCGTTTGGCTTGCTATGGGCTCCTAATATGGCCCTTCGCCTCTTAGGAAAATTATAGGGACCCTAAAGGGTACATACAGGGTATATAGTTGGTATATATATATATGATATAACCAGTAGGTATATCCCTCAACCATATGATATCACCAGTAGGTATGTCCCTAACCCCTAAACCCTAAACCCTAAACGCGGGCAGTGTCAGTTCAGGCTAGGAGTGCTCAGTCTTGCCGGAGGGCATAAGGTTCTGGATTCAGGTCGTTGTGAACCGTGCGTTTGCTTTGAGTCTACGGGGCCCAAACGGTGCCTGACCCTAAACCCTAAACCCTATAAGGTTCCCCAGTCCCAACCGCCCTTGAGCCCCTTGAACCCACCCCTCAAGGATTTTCGTTCGCGGCCTGTGTCTAGTCAGATCCTTTATGGCCTGCCTAGCCACACACCTCCACTCTGTGCCCCCCGAAAGTTGCTCCCTTGATTTATATAGGGGCCTAGATAATTACCAATATTATGGTTCCATATTCCTTATAGTAAATGGTACCTCAGATGCACCTCAAAATTATATTGGTAATTGTGTAGGCCCCCATATTGGGCTTGTGTAGGCTTGATAAAGGCTTGTTAGGGGCGAAGCTTGGGGGGGCAGTTTGGGGGGATGGTTATGCGCACCCACAAGTCCTGCGACCCAGGGCTCCTCTCTGCTTGACAAAGTGAGGCTCCCTGAGGTTCTGGTGCTGCTGCGAGCTTCCCAGCCCGACAGCTGAGTAGTTAACTCATGCAAGACAATCTGCAATTCAAGCAGAGACTACATGAGTATGTCACGGTATGTCTCAAAAGGATTCCCCTATGGATCCCCCTTGAAGGGGCCACTTTAATATAAAAGAAACAACTTACATGGGCGCCTGTCAATGATGAGTTGTTTTGCTCCCGGAGGCAGAAGATTTCTTCCGCGCTGCCGTCACAGTGAGTCCAAAGAGACCTCAGGCTCACAGCATGTTGAGCACCTTTCCCCCCGACTAATAGTGGTAAAGCCAGGAATGTATGCAGAAAGGAATGCTAAGGGTCCCCAATATGATTACATTGTCCTTTGTGTCACTGGTGATCATCATACATATGGAGGTTTCTCAGAGTCATTGGTCCGTTTCTTGGAAATCCTTACAATAACACCTTACCCAACATACCTCCATGTTTACGTTGGCTAGCAGCTAGCTAGCAATATCGGGAAGGGGAGATACCAGAGATTCACGTGCGAAGTTGCTGGTCGTTATGATTTGGTCGGGAAGGGACGCCAGCGTTACTCACAGTGATCTGTAATTACCTTTTAAGCTGACATGGAGATTTGCGCAGGCACGCCCAAAACTGGGATGCTGTTAAGGAACTTAAATTAAGATGCCACAATGTGGGTATACAGTTACAGTATGCAACAGGGTTTCCTTATTCTGGTAACTAGCTTCAGTTCCTTGACACCAATCCAGAAACAAGGTTCTGCTGACGAGGCTGAGGGTGAGGATGGTCATCTGCTCACTAGTTGCTCTCTGAACTACAGAATTTGGCTATAATTGTATACAGTAGCCTACCACCGAAGGTTGCAGCATCATGCGGCAGACTCCGCGAGTGATGTCTCAAGGCTCTGAGATAAAGACTTTTCCGTATACAACTTCTGTTGATGAGATGAAGACCGTTGAATCCTGTTGAGTATTGGTGACTGAGGTAGGGATCTCATGGATCTTAATTTGGTGGACACTAAAACCCTCGCTTGACCCTAAGTACCTCATAACTTCTGAATTATGGTGCTATAGTACTCCGAGATGATGCAGGATTTTTGGTATCAACACTGGGAACCACCCTCCGACCTGTAATTCCAACAACACCAGCAAGAAGCTCTGCGCTGATGTTGTAGCCTGGGTACTCAGCAATATTGTAGCTTCCCAACATGAGGACGCCAATCTAGACCCCAAAATATTATCATCCTTAGTATTATGGGGACCACGGAAAAGGTACCCCCTCATTCATGGAAACCCCATTTTTGGTACCACCTGTCAAAAGTGGTTATATGAGATTCACTGCAGGTAGAGCAGAACAGTAGGATAGATAACTTTGAGTCCTGCATGATGGAACACCAGTGGATGAATACACTCCTGCGTTGCATGAACCTTAAACCCTAAACCCCTAAACCCCTAAACACCTAAACCCTAAACCCTAAACCCTAAACCCTGAACCCTGAACCCAATGAAAAATGGTAGCATAGGAACCAACTCTTTGGTCGTGGAAGTTCTTGCTTAGCAACAGCCCCCTAAAGCTCCAAAAGCAAACTATTAACCTTAGTGGACATGGCGAAAGCCCCAACCAACCTCAAGCCCCCCCAACCCTAAACCCTGAACCCTAAACCCTAAACCCCTAACCCACCAAAAAAGGGCTGATGGCCTGGGAGGCACATGAAAACCTGGCGCTGTCCTTGGAGCGAAGTTGGAAAGTCCAGGAGGCAGTAGCGAGCCTGCGTGGCCTGGCCCGAAGTATACACAGTACAGGTAGGAAGGGTTTAGGGTTTAGGGAGGTTTAGGGTTTAGGGGGGTTTAGGGTTTAGGGTTTAGTTTAGGGGGATGGAGAAGAGAATTGCAACTACTTTGCTACTTGGGGTTTAGGGTACTGCGTAGGGTTTAGGGTTAGGGTTAATACCCGCCTGGAGGAATGTAAAAGAAACTGGCAACTACTTTGTTGCTCCAGGTTTAGGGTTGAGGGTTGATGGATAACCACCTGGAGGAATGGAGAAGAGAATGGAGGCTACTGTGCTGTTTAGGGTGTAGGGTCAGGGGACCTGAGAAGTAGGTTCAGAATTGGGATAACTAGTTTTACTAGCTGGTTTCGTTTCTGTGGGCTTTTGAAGTAGACTTACTCCGTTCCCCCGACCCTTCAAGAAGGGAGCGCAGATCGATTCTAGTCAAAGAGTATTATTGACATGGCACCCAGACTCCAGCTTGGTTGAGAGGTTAGGGCTCTTAAAGAGACTTGCGGCATATATCTTAGGAGGACCCCCACCCTGTAATAGTGGTATAATAGGAATATAAGAGGACCCTAATATAATCCCTATTATCCTCTATAGTCACTATTACTGGGTGGGGGGTCCACCTAACATATATCCTTTTAGGCCTTATTGTTCCCTCCTAGAGTGGTTTGCGGGCCGGGGCCGATATTGATGGGGGTGCCTAAGCTTCAATATGATTGCTTAAGTAGGGAATAAGGAGTGCCACCCCCCCCCCTTTCCCCCTATGTAGCATACATTCCCTTTTTCCCGTACGGACTTGAGTTTTGGCTGGATTGGGGGGGGTTAGGGTTCAGGGTCTGGGTCGGGCTCACGGGCTTGGGCTGTGGCTGAATTTACCAATAGTTTGGGTACTGCCGCCACTCATGAACAGGTGGATAGAATTCATATGATAATTCCCTAGAAGCCCAGTTACCTATATATTAGGTTCCTGTCCTTAGGTCCCTATATAATTTTATATTATCTGTAACCCAAGGATCTACTATATGGGTACCTGGGCTTCTAGGGATTCGTAGAACCCGTAATATGACTCTGTAGACTGTTAATGGGTGGGGGCAGGATTCAAGGTGCAGTGCTCAAGCCGGGTTTGGGGTTCAGTCTTTGGTGAGCCCAAGACACTGGGTTTAGAGTATGGGGTTCAGGGTTGAGGGTTTAGGTGTAAAAACTTGGTTCGACGCTCCCTAAAACATCCCCAAACTGACATGAAATTGGCCTGTGTGGCATTGGTGTTCCGCGGCAGTTCAGAGGATGGACTCTGTTGACCTTTTTCATCTTGATCCTCTAATCAAGCTAAAAGATGAGATATAGCCTAAGCTTCTAAAAGGGTTTTTTAATAGTGGATTTATATTGGGGACTTTAAGGGTTTTTTAAGGGGGATACTAGGAGTTTAGACTAGAGCTCAGATGAGCTACCACCTCAAGTCCTGAATCCATAGCCTGGGGCCAGTGCGCATGTAGCCTTTACTTTTTTGTGGTTCTACGGGAGCGTTTTAGAGGGGACTAAGGGTACATGGCGAAGGCAAGCAAGCGCGATAGAGCTGATGAAGTTGAAGGAATATGGTAGTTTCCATAAATAGGGGGACCCTAATATATACCCGCAAATACTATAATCCTTATTATGGGGACCCCCAAAACGGTACCCTAATTTTCGGAAACCCCCATATGGAAGCCTCCTATGCGACTGGATGCTTCCAGTTGCAGCTCTGTCAAAGCCATGCCTGTAGCAGTAGCATCCCAGAGGACCTCCATAGTCCCCAGATAATGTGGGACTCACTTTAATCTTAGAGGTCCCCTCCCTCTAACAATAGGGCCCTCCAAAAAATAGAAATTAGGGACCCTCAATACGGGCCAAAAGGGTCTGGTGAGTAAATTATGAAGGATTCGTAAGGGCTCTTTGGATTCTCGAATTGAGGATGACTAAAGGGTCTGGTGAGTAAATCATAAAGGTTTCCGAGGGCTCTGGGGATTATCGAATTGAGGATGACTAAGGGTCTGGTGAGTAAATTACAAAGGATTTCTAAGGGCTCTCAGATTCGGTAGTTCAGTGGATTCTGGGACTGGTGTTAAAAGGGATTCCTTTTGAGATCTATATCTGTGGCGGCTGAGCTGGGAAAGGTTTTAAAAGGGTGTCCTTTTAAAAACCTGCATGGGCCCAGGGCTCCCGGATTAAAGCAGGTCTCCAAACAATGGTAGTTATTCAGAGTCCAGGGGCCTGCTGGACCACCCCGCTTTGCTGAAATAATTGTTGATCGAATTTGTAAGGTTTTAGAAAAGGTGTTTTAATCAAACTGAGCGGCTTTAGGTTCCAGATTCGGTAGTTTAGTGGATGCCTACAAGCAACTGCAGGATTTTAAGGAGCTTCAGCTTGTGACTTTGACAGGAAAATTTGGAGCTTTTTGAATTCAAGAATAGTTTCTCTTAAGAAGAAATTGCATGAAATCTTCCTATATTTTCACGGACCCAACACCGAAACACGTTAAACAGGACCCTCCCAACAATGGCCAGATCCTGAATAAGCGGCGGCGAAAGCACACTAAAGAAGGTCTCTACACAAAAGTGTGTGCAACATTAATCTCTGCGTATCCCAGGGCTCAGGGCACCCCTCAAGTCCCCTCAAGATACCCCATTCTGTGGAACCTCAAGGTATGTCCCTGAGCCTTGCACCCAAGAACGTCAAGGCTTGCTCGTAGTTTGATGGTTTAGGGTTACCTCTTGGTTAAAGAACACTTTGTTGGGACCTAGGGTTGTTAAGTTTGATATTAGACATCCCGCAGGACCCTGAGTACCTTGAATCTCAGGAAGCATGTTGCATCAGAGCACTGAGGTCATGCAGGGGTTTTGGACATGAGCAGCAGTCGTTTGTGGGGATATACTGGTATATTAGGTTGCTGCAGCCTCCTAACTCCATGTTGCATGAAAGAAAGGGCTTAGCGTAGCCAGGTAACAAAGAGCACAAAAGGAGTTTGCCCGAATCATCACAGTACGAGATCTTCATGTGCTTCGCAACCGCGAACTAGCACGTAGAACTAACGTGAATGTTTTGTTGATCGACTCAGCTCAAACTCTCCGCAGTGCTGTATTACCTTGATTACGAGACTGACTCTCAATAGCACGTACCCTAACCCTAGATGTTTGCCGCTCTAGGCGACGTTGTGAGAGCATCACGGCGGCGGCTAATGCCGGAATCTGCACCGAATCTCTGCAAATTCTTGCGCCTTCCCCAAATCGTGGCCAGAGTCTGTATAGTATGAGTCCATATTGGGGTTCCTGGCATAAAACGGTTGGCCAAATAGATTTCCCTCCACTGCTATTGGGCGAACTGTCACCGGGGCAGGCTCCCAAGGGGCCCCTGATATACACGGCAGCCAACGCTGAAATGTGAAGGCCTTGAACCCTAAGCCCTAAACCCTAAATCCCCTAAAACCAGGCCTTGAACTTCCTAGGGGAGCTCTTGACGGAAGAGACTAATTTCCGAGAAGCGGAACAAGCTTTCAGGCGGGGGTGGCTTCAGCAATTGGAACAAACCCGAAACCCTAAACAAAGGAGTAGGAAGGGCTCGCATTTGGGGATTTGCGTTTTGAAGGCAGAAACGTCAACGATCCAATTTTGTAGGCGTTCTTCCAAGCCGCATTCTAAAGTCAAGTTACAACAATACTAGCTACACGCACTCCCTGAAGTCACGTACACAATCCTCATCCCTTAATGACAGGAATGTTAGGGCGAAGTCATTCTCATCCCTGCCTATTCCAGACCTATTTGGGGCATGTGTGCGTGTGTGAGGGGGGGTCCAGGAAATAGGTCTGGGGGCACAATGGCATGGTCACCCCGCTGTAACATGAAGACCATATACCCGCACGCATGCCGGTCTAAACCCTAAACCCAACCCTAAACGTCTCCCAGCCAAACCCCCTCTCAGCCCCTCTCCCCTTGTCTTTCGGAAAAAGGCGCTTCAGAGCTGATTCACGATTCCAATCCTGAGTAGAGGGTGGTAATCCTACACATGTACTCCCACGGTTGATGGGCATAAGCTGAATCTGAATATATTATACCAGCTATGCCACCGCAGTTCCTGAAACTATGGAGGCTGGAGACTCCCTATAAACACTGGGCAAATTCTAACAGCCTCAGTTGATTTCACCGCAAATGGTGCTGTGTTGTTCTGGAAGATGGTCCCAACGTGGCCTCAATTCGGGTGTTTGGAGTGATGCCAGTCTGGCCAGTCAAAGTTGGTCCCCAATGCTCGAATGGTCCACAGTTTATGGTCGTTATGAGGGGTAAAATAGGGGGTTATATAGGGATAATGGAAAAGAAAACGGAAACTACAGGGATTATTGGAGTTATATGGGTGGTTGTCAAAATCATGGCTTCTTTTCGGATCCCTATTATAATACGGCCCCTAATATTTAGGGTACCCCAAAAAGGGCCCATAATTTTGACAACCACCCATATAGGGGTGTTGCAAACCGCCCCAAGAATTGCAGCCCGCAGCGCAACTTTAGCCAAGCCCTACATGCCCCAGACGTGGTTCAACTCTAAAGCTGCTGCCTGCCAAGTCCCAAGCTACGTCGAAAGCTCCAAGCTCTATAAACCCCAGACTAATGGCCTTCGTACCATGGTTTGGGGTTAAAGGCCATGACTGTAGTTGAGCGGTCTAGGAAACCCTAACCAAGCAGAACAAACCCTAAACCCCAAACCTTAAACCTGAAATCCTCTACCATATACTCCCCCAAACCCGAAACCTTAAATCTGAAACCCTGCACCACATACCGCCCAACACTTAAACCCTTTATCCTGTTGTTCAGGGACTCGCTAGCCGTCGACCCGACCCATCCGGACACCCATCGCCAGCTGGCAGACGCTTTGCTGATGCGCCAAGCCTACGAGGAGGCCTCATGTTTTAGGTTTTAGGGTTTGGGGTTTTGGGTTCAGGGTTTGGGGTTTAGGTTTAGGGTTTAAGGGAGTAGGGTTGAAAGCCCTTTTAAAGGGCTTAGATAGGGGCATATATACGATTATCATGGTTATTATTCTTGTTATTCTTATATAGATGGGGGCATGTATGGTATTATAGGGGTACGCATACATACATCTCTCTCTCTCTCTCTATACACATGTGTGTGTACTTATAGAAGGTCTGTGGCTTAGTCAGAAGGGATCACATAGGCTTGGGAAGAAGAGTCTGGGTTCGACGGTTGAAGGTTTAGGGTTTTCCGGGACTCAGGGGTTTAGGGTTTTAGGGGATGTAGTAGACCCTAGAAGCCCAGGTACCCATATAGTAGGTCCTTGGGTTACAGATAGTATAAAACTATATAGGGCCTTAAGGACAGGAACCCAATATATAATCTGGGCTTCTAGGGAGTTTTGGGGTTTTTGGTCTACGTTTTAGGGTTGGGCTTGATGAAAGCACACGGACCCTCTGAGCTACGGAGAGCGTCAGGGCTACTATGGGTTAGGGTTTAGGGTTGGGGGGGTGGACAAAGGCCTCAACAGAACGCAAGCTCACCCAGTCATGATCTTGACAGATTGCCTAGCCGCCAGCCTAAACCCTACCTGCAACCCCACTTACCTACATTATACCCAAGAATTAAGGGGTAATTACTATTAAACTGTAGGTAATTGGGGTTACAGGTAAACCCTAAACCGTGTGTGTAGCTCATTTAGGGTTTGGAGGTTGTGGCGTTTGGGGTTTGGTCTTCGAGGTTCAGGGGGATTCTCAAAGTTAGATTCTCCTTGGGGGCCGCAAAACATTGGGCTTCTCCCTTCTTCTGCATGAAGACTTACTGGTTCTTAGTAATTAGGGAGAAAAGGAATATACCATAAAGGGGTTATATAGAATTATATTCCCCATTGCTTACGCAGGACCAGCAAGAAAATAGAGTTTGCACGGATATCTGCTACTTTGGAAGTGCAGACTTCTGGATTGCAGGGGCCCTTTTCAGGATTTAGGGTTTAGGGTTTCTTCCTTGCTTTTTGATGTGGTCATGAGAGGCCAACTTATGACCGGGTCATATCCTATAGTCTCTTTGGACGATTTTCATGATTTCTAGAAAACATTACGTTTCATAACGAATATAGCACTATCAAAGTATTACTAATAACA